GTTTAATCACAATTTGCAATATATATTTGGGGGTACATTGTTGAATGTTTGTCTCCCACTAGTATATAAGCTCTCAACTCACAGACCTTGACTGTTTTGCCCACCACTCAGTAAATGTTTAGGAAATGAATAGTAACTGTTCACTGATTATTTTGGGCCTTTCCTGAATAAAACAACAATCAAATTTAATAGTACTTAAACTACCCATTTTTGAAGTAAGTGTGGGAACAGATAGTTATAGCTAGATAAAATTTAAAGTTTGAAAATGTACTGAATTTTATTCTTCTGACAGCACTCTTCAAAAATCAGTATTACAGCTTTAGCTGGTTTGGCTCAATGGATAGAGCATCAGCCTGTGGACTGAAGGGTCCCAGGTTCAATTCCATTCAAGGGCACATGCCCAGGGTTGTGGGCCCAATCCCCAGTGAGGGGTTATGCAGGAGGCAACTGATCAATGATTCTCTCTCATCTTCGATGTTTCTATCTCTCTCTCCCTCTCCCTCTCTGAAATCAATAAAATATATATATATATATATATATATATATATATCCCCCCCCCCAGAAATCAGCATTATAAAACATTCTAATCCTGTGGTACCTAAACCTCATTTCTCATGAGAAGCAAACCAGAATGCAGCTGAATCACCATACTGTGGAAAATCCTAAAACCTTTCCTCTATTCCAGGAGACGATGATAACAAAGAATGGCAAATTTCTGGGAGAAGGCAGTGATTGGGAGGATTGCTTTACTGAAGTGGAGTTCTCAATGTAGTTGTCTTGAGTGATCTATGACACTCCATTTGGGAAACACTCTTACGTACTTATCTCATAGTATAATCTATTGTCATTAGTTCCATTTAAAGTGTCAGTTTCAAATGTTACTACGGCACATATAGTTTCTTTTTTGAGAATTTGTTTCCCTTTCAATTATTAAGTTATAAATGGCCAAAGTGCTTAATGTCTTATTTTGTTTTTTGTGATCCCCAATTTCTGATGTAGGGTTAGTTGCAAAAATAATTAAGGAATAGCTTGAGTAAGGTCTAGTTTATGTACTCTTTCTTATTTTAGAGAATACTTCGTAATTCTAGGTTGGACATCGATGACAATTTTATACTTGAGAGTCACCAAGGTGAACATGTAACGTGTATTTCCACATCATTCTTTTAAAAACGGAATGCTGATGCTCGCTGGAGAAAAGTAGCCTTCCTGGTCATGTTGGTTCTCCATAACTAGTGACGAGATGTTTACAGCAGTCTGGACTCATACAGAAAGGGAAAGCTCCTGTCTTAGGAATGGTCAGCTCTGTTTCCAACTATCTTTATCCACAGCAGGAAATCCTGTCTGCTTCTGCCAGCAGAGGGCAGCGTACACATACAAGTATACTACAATTTGTAAGGCTTTGGTTTCTTTGGCAAGTGTGTTAAAATTCCTCGAGTGGTTTATGTTTAGAATTAGCAGTACTGATAGGACAGGAAATTGGCTGGGTGGGACAGTGGTTAAAGGGGTTCTGTCTGAAAGTTTAGATCTGAAATATGTGCTACCATACTGTGGCTGTTCAGTGAGGAATGTCCTCTACATGTCAAACTCCATTTTGAACTACTCACTAGTCTACCATGTGGGAAGCTAACTCTTTAACCATTGTTTTGATGTAATCTCTACTAAAAAAAGAAAAAGAAAAGTGTTGGAAAAAGTATAAGCTTTGAAGTCTCATTTAGGCTACAGTTCTGCCAGTGCTACTCAGCTAGCTGTGTGACCAGTGGCAGACTATTTAAACTCCTTTAGTCTCCCTTTCCTTAGCTGAAAAATTTAGATGATAACCTGCTGTGAAAAGATGCAGAAAATTTAATAGTGGCTTCATATAAAACACATAGTTGTAAATATATACTTACTACTTTCTTGACTCAGAACTTATATATTTCTTGTTATATTTACAATTGCTGTTTGTCTTACAAGGTTAAGTGATAGGTCTGAAAGCTGTATATTTCTATTAGGAAGCCATCTGTAGCTAGCACAGACTTTCCTATAGAAACACTCAATTTCTGGCTATAAAAAGATGATAAATAATAGACAGTGTAATCAACAACCTTAATATTTTATCCACATCTCTTTAACTCCTACTGTGCTCCAAAATTTAACCAGTAGTTAATGAAATTTGAGAAAGGTGGTCTGTAATTTTTCAGTGCCAGAGTTTTCTTTTCTTTTTTTTTTTTTTTTTGCCATTTCCCAATTCTCTCTGTGTTTTTATTTTTCATGAAGTATTTCTTGTTTATTAAAAATCGGTAGAACTCAAGGATTATGACACAGAGATATACTGGGAGACAGATTTGGAAGTGTTAGGAAGACCACAAGCTAAACACCGGGACTGGCACTGGGATGAGCTCTAGTCAACTGAGACATCAAGGGTTGTGTTGCCTGAGGAGACTCTTGTCCTTTTAAGTAAACACTTTGGCCTTTGAGATAGTGAGCTGGAAAAAAAAAATCTTCAGATATTCTTGTTTGAGATGGGCAGGGAATTCAAATAGAGAAGCGGCATGAGAAGGTGGTGAAAAATATGTGCAGTTGACTATCATCTCTCAAGTGTGAGCCCTGGTGAACTGAACTAAAGATAGGATGAGAGAGAGAGAAAAAAAGTGTGCCAGTTCTTTGGCATTGAGGTAACCTAAATTCTGAGTGTTGCAAATAGTGTCTTTCCTATAGGCCAGGTTATATTTGAAATGTTTGTTGTCCATAGGTATATGATATTGGCATGAATATATGTGAATGATGTGTTAGCCTATAAATATACTGGATGTTTCATGTAGAACATTTTAGGAGCCAGGACTAGCCATTTAGATGAAAATGGTACCCAAAGTCCCTGGAGTGTCTGGCTTACCTGGAAGCAGGGCTTAACGCTGCTAAGTACTAATAGAATGGCTCTTGCCAGACCCCTGGCTACATACAGAGGGGATTTGGAGATACTGGGTTATCCAGTAGTTTTTGTTATAATGACTTATTTTACATCCAGGGGCAGTCAGTCTTGCAGAAAGAATCTTTCAGCATATATCTCAAGGGATTTTTCTCTACTCCCTGGGACAGAAAAGAGGTCCCCCCTCAGTTACCTACCTGAGGTTGCATTTTTAAGGTTGCTAGTCTTTCCAACTTTCCCAGTAGTGTGTGTTTCTCTGCCACTGGATCCCCAAAGAACTCAACCCATGGTCTATTAGGGTATTTAGTATTAGGGGCTTTGCTTTTACTTTATTCTGAGGGATTCTTGAATCTAAACTATTCAGACAAAGAATGTCGTAGGTAGTTCCTACATGTTATCTAGATAGCCATTAATTAGCACATGTTTTAAAAATTACTTTTGGGTTTTCCATGCTTCTTCTGTTTATTTCCTGTCTCTGACTCTAATCTTCATAACTCTCTGCTTTTTTTTTTTTTTTTTTTAATCAGTTTGCCCCATTTATATCCTCCTGGTCAAAGGCAAGCTGTTTTGTTAAGCGATCTCTTTGGTCCAAGAGGAAGCCTAACTTCCGCTGTGCTTCAACTTTTGCCTTGTGCCTCCTCAGGTGAGCTGCAGAATTGGCAGCTTTGGCCCGCTAGGCATGCAAAGCACCTGAGCCCGATCAGTCCCCAGCCTGTCCTTCATGCCTCTGCCTTCCAAGCTTGCGGCTGCTCTAGTCGCACATTTCTGTCCTGTCTTACCCTCCTCATTACTGCAGCTCCAGGACAATCCTCAGGATTTCCTGTTGAGGTGATTTTGCATAGCCTGGGGGAGTCACAGGGAGATGAATACAGAAGGGCAGAGCAGGGGCGGACTTCATTGCTCGGCAGTGTGCTGCTCCCTCTTGTATGAGAAAAGTGGGAGGACATTCAGCCACCTGATGTGCAATTGAATCTACCTCAAACATTAAGGGAAAGCCTCAGAATTGGGGAAGGTTTAAACCCATTTGGATTTCAGCCAGAAATGCTGGCATATTGGGTTTGCATTTGGTCTCAATATGAGGAATAGACCGGAGCAGGAGCATGGAAGACAGTGCCACTGACCATTTTGGAAAAACAAACAAACAAAAAGGAAAGGTTGGGAAGGCTTAAACTACAGAACTGGAGTTATGGTGAAGAGGACACTTAGGATGCAGAGTCTAAGTGTTTAAGATGGACTGAATGAATCCTGTCTAGCGTTCTCAGTGGTCAGCTACATTCCAAAGGGTTTCGGGTTCAATTCCTAGTCAAGGGCATGTTACTTGGGTTGCAGGTTCGTTCCTGGCCCCATTTGGGGCATGTGCAGGAGGCAACCAATCGATGTGTCTCTCTTCCATTGATGTTTCTTTCACTTCCTATCCCTCCCTTCCACTCTCTCTCTGAAAATCAATGGGAAAAATATTCTCAGGTGAGGATTAACAAAAGAAAAAGAAAAAGAGAAGACTGAATGTGAGAAGAAAAGGGACAGGGATTTGGCCCAGGTTTCTGATTTTACTGATGAGGTGGAGAATGAGGGAGAGACTTTTAAATATAACCAAGTGAAGATATTTCTTCGAAGAGTAGTTCAGGAAGTTACCAGGTATAGTTTGTTAACTGAATATAGATGCACCCGCAAACAGTTTGATTTATCTGTATGACATACAAATGCAGTAATTTATTGTTAGATGCTGTTGGAGTAGACGCTTTCTTGTTTGATAACTTTCGTAGTCATAGAAGATTTCAATTTGTACTGAGCTAGGAATCAGAAGATGCACGTCATTAGCTCAACTTATGTTGCCTAGGATGGCTCTTTGCCCTCTCTGGTCTCTGTGCAGAGAGGGTTATGTGGATCAAATGAGGCAAAGTAGGTGAAAACACTGGATATCCAAGCAAGTATAAAGTGGGTGATATGTTTTTCATTCAGGTATTAAAAAAACAATAGGAACACAGATATGCACCACAGAGGGAGATTCTGCTTACAGTAAATGACTGCTTTGGTTACAAACTAACTAAAGAAATTAACTCAGACTCCTTATTTTTTGTATTTACCAACCAACCAGAACCAGGACCAGTATTCACATCTGCTAAGTGATCAGTTTCTGCCGTACCAAGGTCATAATTCCTTCCGGGAGAAGTATTTCAGCGGGATAACGAAAAGAACTGCCAAGGAAGAAAAATCTAGCCAGGAGTGAAAATTAAGATTTTGACAATGAAGAAAGACTAAGGATTTCATAAAAAGGACATCTGGATGTGAACTTTCATGTGTGATACAGAAAACATGCACTGTTTTAAATAATTTTATATAACAAAATGCTACAAAGTAAATTGAACAATTCTTTTAAAATCAGCCTCATTTTATGGACTATTTTGTTGTATGTGGTCTTTTGAACCTTATTTAATTTATATTTGTACTTTCAAGTATTATGGAAATTAAAAACAGTTATATTTTTGGTAATTAATTTACAACGGAAACTGCTATTGTTGACTTTTTAAACAGTTATTTCAGACTGTATTATAGGCAGTTAATAGTGGTTGAGAGTTTAGTCATTAGAGTTAATTGTGTTTTTTTATTGTAATTGATTTACATTGCCACTAATAAACCTTACTGAGGATTTCTAAAATTGTAGTATTCAGTGCTTTTAAGGGAATGAAGGAAATGAAATTTTTTTTTTTTTTTATCAGTGCCAGACAAGTAGTTCATAACAGTGGTATAGTGATGGTGAGAACAACTAGCACCTGACAACCTAAAAAGCTTACAAGCACCTTGAGGCCTGTCCACATCTGAAGCTCCTCCATACCTTGGATTTGCTCCTGTAATCCTAAACTTTGACCTAGGGTTAGAATTAGGGCACAAGGTTAGGATCATGGCTAAGGATCACCACAACATGAGGAACTGTATTAAAGGATCATGGCATTAGAAAGCCCTAACTGTAACCCTTACCTTAAATCTCCAGGTGATTTCAATATGCATCCAAGGACCCAGAGGCTAAACCTAACCCTAACTCAAACCCTAGCCCTAATCTTAACCTTAACTGTAACCCTAATCCTAATCCTAAACATAGCCCTAAGCTTAACCCTACCCCTAACTGTAAAACTAACCTTAAACCTAACTCTAGACCTATCCCTAATCTTAAACCTAACCCTACCTTTTCTCTAGCCCTAACCCTAACCCTAACCTTGTGCCCTAAGCCTAGCCCTAACCCCAATCCTAACCTTAACCTTAGCCCTCACCTTAACACTAGCCCTAATCCTAAAACTAGCTGAGCCTGGCATGTGGGATCTGGTCCCCACCTGGTGGGTTGGCTCCACGCTCACCTCCAGAAGATCAGTTGTGGTGCCCTAGAAAGTGCATTTTAAACACTTACCCAGATAGTTTTGAGGTAGGTGAGGAGCAGGTCACAGAGAGGCTGGGACCCGAGAGGTGAGGCAGATTGTCCTTATAGCCTAGGGAATCCTTTCCGTCTTCGATAGAACCTTGAGGGCTAGGCTGTCATGGGAGAGGAGGATGAGACTGAAGCGTGTGGGCAGCTGCTTTGGGCTTTGGGTAGAGGACAGAGGGTTAGGGTTTGAGGTAGGTTTAGGGTTAGGGCACAAGGTTAGGTTTAGAGTTAGAGCTAGGGTTAGGGTTAGGGGTAGGAATAGAGGTAAGTATAGGGTTAGGGGTAGGGCTAGGGCTAAGTAGGGTTAGGGTTAGGGCTAGGGTTAGGGCAGTCTGCCTCACTTCTCAGGTCCCATCCTCCCTTGGCCTGAGTCAACATTCACCCACATTCCTGGTGGAGGCGACCTGGAGCCTCTCCCAGCTGCTCCAGCCTTCCCAGGTTCCATGTTTTCAATGATTCCCGGTGACATCCTCCTCACCTACCTCAAAACCACCTGGGTAGGTATCTAAAACCCACTTTCTAGGGCACCACCCCGGATCTTCTGGAGGTCAGCATGGAGTCTGCCCACCAGGTGGGTTCCAGATCCCCCAGGCCAGGCTCAGCTGACTCCAGTCCTGCGCCCCCTCAAAAACAGTTACAGCCTTCACCCTCTTTACCAGCATCTTCCTGGCGGGGCCATCTCTGTGCTCCTCTGCAGAGAGGCTGTGCCTCAACCATCCCGCTAATTGTAACCCAAGCCCTCGGGTTAGGGCTGGGGCTAGGGTTAGAGCACCAGTTTAGGATTAGGATTAGGACTAGAGTTAGGGTTATGACTAGGTTTAGGGCATCAAGAGCTATCTCGGAACTTCAGTGGGAACGTGATATTATCGGGCTTGGTCTATCACCAGCTAAAATGCTAGTCAGAAGGTTAGCGATGTCAGAGTGACAGAGCAGTGGTAGTAGAGACTGATTGGAGAATGTTTAGAAGATAAGCAGATCCTGGGAACTGGGAACAGGGACGAGGGAGGAGTATGGGATGATGTCTGAGGCTCCAATGGGGTGACTGGGTGGATGGCATGACACAAACAAATAGAATGGTGGGAAAAAGATTTGTTTAGGGTTGGCCAGCCTGAACATGAGGCATCTATGGAATGGCCATGGAGAACTGCGTAGCAGCTTGTTAAGTATGCAAGACCAAAGCTGGACAGTGACTGTGTAGGTGGGGAGCAGAGGTCTCTGCATGGGACACATAACCACTGAATTAAGTCACACTGTCCAGCTCTGAGGTTCATTCTGTCGAATTTCTCTCCTTCACAATATGTGTGTTTAGCAAAGATACTTGGCACAACCTACTGCTCATGAGATTGAGTCAGGCATTAACACATTTTTGTTACGTGAAATTTATACTTCAATTACTAACGAGATGAAATTACTTTTGAGCTACTTGGAGCTCCAGAGAGTAACTCTGGCTATGGGCTGATGGGCCTCTGACTGAAGTGGGTGGGTGTGCTCCATTTGTTGTATGCATTCGTGTAACACACCATGGAGATTGACTTAAACCGATAAGCTGTCGTTAGTGCCTCTACAGAAAACCTGCTAAAGAAACCCACAGGCCACCACATCTTACACTCAAGACGTGGAAAAAGAAACACTCGGAGAACTTTTTCCCTCTTCTCCTTATCCTTTAAAATTAAAAATGCTTCCTTTCCTTTCTCTTATTTAAGTAACTACATAATAGCTTTTGGGCAGAGACATAAAAAAATTACGGGTAGGCAAGAATATGGGGAAATTTGTAATTAAATTGGGGTTTCATTTGCTTTTTTCATTTATTAAAAAATGTTGAGCCAAAAATCCCAATTTTCCCCACCCCCTTTTTAAATATCCTATGCATTTGGCAGAGTACATGACAAAACCTCTTTCCAGCTGTGGGCCAGGCAAAATCCTTTTCTGAAGCTCCTACTCATTTGCATTAGGCTGACTGGTTGACAGCATCACAGAGAAATCCCGTCAGGAAATGTTCTGAGGTCCCTTGACAGTTCTACATATAGTCTTATCTTTTGGAGCAAAATAAATGAATGAATGTCTATTCTTTTATGTCGCCTTTGTTAGCTTGTTTTCTTTCTTAGTTTTGGTGAAGCAGATCAGGAACCTGAAAGCAACCATACTTTTTTTTTTTTTAAAATATATTTTATTGATTTTTCACAGAGAGGAAGAGAGAGGGATAGAGACTTAGAAACATCGATGAGAGAGAATCATCGATCAGCTGCCTCTTGCACAACCCCTACTAGGGATGTGCCCACAACCAAGATGCATGCCCTTGCCTGGAATCGAACCCGGGACTTTTCAGTCTGCAGGCCGACGCTCTATCCACTAAGCCAAACCGGTCCCGGCATGAAAACAACCATACTTTTGGCCTCCAGCCTGGCTTTCTGAACCCCAGGAAAGGAAATTTAACAATCCTGAGTGGGTTCCCCAAGAAAGAAGGGCATGCTGGTGCTGTGTGATGAACAAGGCTCCCGGTGAAGACACGACCCATTTCCAGCAGCTGTAAGTGGTCCAGGAGACTCGGTCCTACAGATGATGGCGCTGAGTGTATCAGAACCAAGTGCCACTCCCAGAAGCCTGTCAAGTGGGTCTCTGTGTACCTGGTTGCCATTATCAGCAATGAAAACAACACAGCCCTGTTCTCTGAGCTTATAGTCAGTCTGGGGGCTGAGGATGGTGTTAAACAAAGAGGTAAATAATAAGCCTGGCTGGTGTTGCTCAGTGGTTGAGCATCGACCTATGAACCAGGAGGTCACAGTTTGATTCCCGGTCAGGGCACATGCATAGGTTGTGGGCTGGATCCCCAGTATGGGGTGTGCAGGAGGCAGTGGACCAATGATTCTCATCATTGATGTTTCTATTTCTCTCTCCCTCTTCCTCTTGGAAATCTATCTATCTATCTATCTATCTATCTATCTATCTATCTATCTATCTATCTAAAAAGATGTAAGTAGTCAATTAAATTAATGGTCAGTTTTTCCACAGGGTAAACCCAGAGTAAGTATAAAAGGAGCACACAGCCACTTCTAATATTACCAGGGGGTATTACCAGGTGTTTCTTGTATTTTGACATTTGGGGCCTTGTTGACTCTAGAGAGACAGCTTCTCCCAGGATCAGCCGATTCCTAGAAGTGGTAAAAGACTCATCTGCAAGGGTAGGTTTCTTATATGCAAACTGTGTGGTCTAGAGCCCACAGGTGCCACCCCCCTCTCTCTGGCTTTAGCTTCTGGGCCCCTATTCCCCTGTCTGATCCCCACAGGGCAACTAGGGAGCAACCCTGCATCCCAGAGCCCACTGAAACTATTCACACTACCAGTGGTAGGCAAATGTGGCTCGCGAGCTGCGGTTTGTCACTCTGTTGATTAATGAGTTTGCCGACCACTGATTTAGACCTTTGATTCCAATAATTACAGGCTGTTGTTGTTCCTTGTGATTAAGCCCCTATCCCAGTGGTCAGTAAACTCATTAGTCAACAGTGGCAAACCGTGGCTCGTGAGCCACATGTGGCTCGTGAGCTGCAGTTTGCTGACCACTGCTCTAGCCCATCCCAAACCTGCTGACCTAGCCTTACTTGTTCCTTCTCATCAGACCCTAAAAAAGAATGTTGTCCACATGTTTCTCTCCTTCCCTCTGCGTCCTGACACTCTGGGGGCCCTGTGCGACTCAGCATGCCCTCTTCTCTTGGAACTGCAAGGAGCAAACTACCTTTTCAATGGTAATTGTCTTCTGGCCTGTTGGTCTCATGGAACCTGAATAATCATAAAATACACATTTGGAAATATAGTGC